CAAGTTGCAGCCTAATAAAATAGCTCCTCTTTTCTACCCCACTTTTTTTCCTTTCTAATTCTGAAACAGTGTTTTGTCCAATACACATCTCCTTTTTCATTTCATTGGGTTGGAAAGAAAAAAACTACCCAATGATTATACCCAGTCATGTGTATTCCATTGAAATATGAACGAATGTAAACTTTGCTTATTTGACACCCAAAAGCTGAATAACATTCCTTGAGCTGGAAGTGGACTTCCAACCCAGTGGACCTTGGTTATATACAAAATCACAAATTTTCACTGAATTCTAAAACAGCAAAGGAAGATTTTTCACATAAGAGAACTTGTGTCCAATTTCTCACTTAGATCTACTTCTGTGAACAAAAGCATTTTCCCATTGTAAAATTAGGTGAATACTCCTTCCTCACAGAAGCAATCTTTGCCTGAGAACAAAAAAAATTTTGAAAAGTGCATGCCAAGTTACATAGAAACTGCTCTAATCCTTGTTCAGTGGCCATGGTTAGTCATCTTAATATATTTAATATAGACTTAATATATCATCTAAAGGGAGAGTAAATTGCAGGTCCCATTCAAAGCCATGTGAGATTTCCCCTGCATTTTTGCTGTTTAATACGTCCTTAATTAAAACTTCCTATATAAAAAAATACTAACACACCACTCATTTCCCCCAAAGTAGATAATTTGTCCCTGAGCTTCCAAGCCTCAGATGCTTGAAGCAGGCTCTCATTTTTTGCACCTCTTTGTGGAGAACTCAGCCCTTCAAGCTACATCTCAGTGAAAGTAAGAGTCAATCATTAGTGCAGACAGACACAAACAAACAAAAAATCCCAAACCAAACCCCCCCAAAAACATCCACCAAATTGTTAAAAAAAAGTCACTTTGAATTTTTGTCTTTCTCCATCACCAGATTTCAATTGGAGGGGAAGAAATTTCTGAGAGTTGAGAATTTTCTGAGAGTTGAGGATTATAACAATAATACCTACTACAAGAGAAAGACAAATGGACAAATTACTGGACAGATTTGTCCAGTAATGACAAATATTTCAGCCATGGGAAATTTCCTATCATAAATCACTGGAATACATGACTCTTCCTACACCATTTCTCCCCAGCCTATTTGGAGATTGTCTGAGTACACACTCTGCCAGCTCACAAAGAGGAGCTGCAAACATATTCACAATTTCCTCTAACTGGTATCTTTCAGTCCCACCTTTCCCTTCAGCTTCATCTAGGCAGCTCAAACCTCTCATTTAAAGCAAACTCCCCACTCCACCTCCACACAAGTATTAACAACAGTTATTTTTGCACAAACTCTTTCCCTTGCACTCTCACTGAGACATTTGCTGGATGTGACGAAGCTGACCCATCTCTTCCCAGTGCCTCCCAGGTTCAGGATGCACCAGTTCACTCCCACGTGGCTCATTTCCTCCCACATCTCGGTTTCAGCACCTCCCACTGACCTCTGCAGGAGAGTAAGAAGCCTTGACTATATATAGTAAGGTGCTGAAACATTTCTCACATAATCTGTGTGGGCAGAAGGTGGGAGAACATGCATCCTGCTTGGGAGCACATTCAGACTTGCCTGAATAAAAGTTGCTCTTCCTAAACATCAACAGTTTTAGTGTAAATACTTTGAATATACCCTCGTGTACTGTAAACTTGTAGACTTGAGCTATTATGCATCTCTGACTTGTCTTTTAATTATGGACAAAATGTTTTAGTGTCTCCATAGGGAAATAGTTATAACAAAAACTACATATTACTCTAAATTTGATCTTAAACATCAATTATTGTAGGTGTCATATAACTAATGTCAATTCTCACTGTACCACTCAACTTCTGGCCTTACTGAGAAACTGTTTTCTTTCTGAGGAACTGGCAGAACAATCTAAAACAACCAGACGAAAAACCCCCCACCACAAAGTAAAAGCTTTCAATAACAGATTTCAAAATTTGAAATTTTTCATCTGCCTTGTGTTTCCTTTTTCAGACATTCTCTCTCACCTACTCCATGCTCTAAATATTCAGCTGAAATGAACAATTTTCACATAAATAATTATAATGCTTAATAATTCAGCAACAGAGTCAACATTCTTTTCATTTTTTTAAACTTCTTTCTCCAAAATTTTTCTTTTTCATTTTGTAAATCCTCCAGCTGCACTGGAAACAGCTTTGGCGAACAGACACTACTCCTAAACTGCCTGTCTCACACACCACACGTTGCCAAAAATGAACTTCAGTGGTTGTTTGCAGCACCCTGGCAGGTATATGTGGCACTGCTGGAGTCAGAGTCTCACCCTTAACTAATGTGACACTATTGGTAATTTTGGCAGTGATGGCTATCTCAGCTCAAAAATGCTCCCATTGAAACAGAGTTCTGAACTAACTTGGCTGGGTCTTTCTCCATCTAAGAGTCTTCCTCTCTGTATTACATATGGACCTTTAAGCTGCCTGCTTTATCCATACACACTTACATGAGGTGACAACGAGGAATAAGGAGCCTTAGGCTTGGATTCTGAGATTACCCTACCACTAGCCCTATGTAGCTTGAGACCATGCCTTTGTCTCTGAATTCAAGTCTTTTTCCTGAAAGCAAAAGCCTATACAGTGTCTTGCAGACCAGAGGCATTCAGACACAGATTTTCTCAGGAACACAGATACAGTCTGAGTATGAGAACAAGCGCCTTGGTAGCATCACCTCAGTGAGCTGTGTGACAAAGGTGAGTTACTACATAGCTTATGAAGACTCATCCTTTAAAATCCAACCCTTCCACTATTGACTGTGATAGCATTCTGGCTTCTCTAGGAATGAATGCAACCTATAAAATATAACTCTGGGTCAAAAATAAACTTTTAAAGAAATAAAAAGAAAAAAAGGCTAATCAGAAATCATGATCAGCTATCCTCTTGTAAGCTGATCGAAATCATGATCAGCTATCCTCTTATAAGCTGATCTTATCAGGGTTGAGTCACATGAAGTATAAACTAATCTCCAGGAAACAAGCACCCCCTATACTCTTGCTCTAGAAATTCTTTTAAACACCTATTTTTTTGCCTCTGTGTCACATAGAAACAATGTGAAACAGTAGGGAAAGCAAAAAGCAATAGTGAGGCATCAGCCAAAGTGATGTTCTGAATTGCCACTATATTATTCTTCAAATAGATATTCCTCCAACAAGATAAAATTTGCTTGGGTTCTCCATCTATCCTTTGATTTTGCTTGTAGGCACAGGTGGAGCCACAAGAGCTCTGTCTCCCATTTTTTTCCCCTCAGAGAATTCCCTTCCTTGTGGGGATCCTCCACAGCTGGCAGCACTTTTTCCTGTTTCTACAGCAGCTTTAATACCTCCTGCACTGGATTGAATGCTACAAAGCATAGTGGGAAATTATGGACCAGAGGTGGGGAGGAAGCATCTTTAGGAGGAAGCAGAAAATAAGCTTTTCAAAGGATGAGAGAATGAAAAGGCCAGATAGCAGATCAGTAGAGGAGAAAATACACTCAATCTTTAGGTCTTTAGATTACAAAAACAAAGTGCAGAAGCCACGCAGCTGTAACTAACAGTTTTCAAGGCACAGACACACAAGAAAAAAAATAAATAAAAAAAACTCAGGCTTTAGCTGATGTTCAGAGCAATTCCTGGAAGTTACCAGAATTAGAAGCACTGCAAGAACCTCAACAGACTCACATATTTAAAGGGATAATATTGAAATCCTACATGATGGGCAAATAACTAAATAAAAAAATAATTTTTCCATAAGAAGAGAAGACCAAAGGCATGGTGCTATAAACTTCATTATAGCTATACACCTGAGGAATTAGCTACAGGTCAGATTTGAAAATCAGTTCTTAATAATTTTTCTTAAAATATATTACTATAAGAGGGCATGATGTACCTACAAATCAATCTTACTCCCCTCCTGAAAATAAACCCCAAATACTAAATCACTATGTTATAGATTTAAACTAGGTTAATATTTTTGTGTTTCTTCTGAGTATGAGAGGAGGGCTATGATTCCCCATTGTCATGTCTCTTGTAGACCTCATGAAAACCAAATGCAGAGGAGACTGGGTGCACCACTGTATTTGTATTACCACTCAAGTGTGAAACTCTTCCAGTGGAGACTGTCCTGTGCTTGTGTATTTCCTGCAGTGTCATAAGGTTATACTGCAACTATATATCGTGTGCACACTCATGGGAGAGTATGTATTTTTTATTTTGGATTAAAATCCCCCTCCAATGAATTTGCTGTCTAAGTTTCTTCCAGTTTCAATTGATATATTTTTTATGTAAAATTTTGTCATTTTCTCTTTCTCATTTCTAGAAGTCTTCAGGAATGTGCAATACAGGCTAATTTTAATTCTTCAGTTCCAGAGTCAGACTTCGGGGACATGCGCAAAGAAAAGTCAATACACAAAACTAAACTGCCTTTAGTGTTAAGCCTCACTAAATGTGTGAATTTGGTCAAATATCTGCCTTTTTGCCTTAGTTTCCCTGAAACTAAGGTTAGGCTCTATTGATGAAAAGCCCTGTAAAAAGAATAAGGAATTATTATTATTGCTATATACTAATTAACCCTTCAGGGAACTGTAAGAAAAAGCATAAAAAGTGGCACAGCTTCTCCTCTCCCAGCTGGACAGACTTGAGGTAATTTGGCAGAGCAGTACAGGAAAGTTTTCAGCTAGATTCAGAAGAGGCATTGGAGCACACAAATCCAGCATGTATCCATTCCACTCAACACCAGCACTAACCCTACCGATACTTTTGTTTCTTTCAGGGCAACCCCTGATCTCCAGGCACAACTGCTAGAGTCCAGATCCCTCTGAGCAGCTATGCACTTCATTCCATGGTGGGATTCATATTACTTTATGTCAGCAGCTTTTAATAAAGCCAGTCCTATAAAAAAGCACAAATGGCAGTAGTAGGCTCATTTTACACATTGAATAAATTAAATAAATTGGTCAGCTAGAATACCGAAAACGCAAGTTTAGATCCTACCCTGAGAGATGCAGAGCAAGCACTTTGAATCCACTGCCCAGGTCTGTTGAGGAGAAGTCCCTGGGGTGTGATCTAGAGGAAGAATAAGAGTGACATTTGTAAACTGATCATTGCTCATGGTTTCCATACCTACCCTGCTGTAGTTTAACTTACAAGAAGAGAAGTGATTTTATTAAACTCTTGAAGAAGGAGCAAAGAATAGTTTCACCATCTGTTTCCATCTGGAGAGATTTGAGAAGGTTATATCAATACTAGTTTGACCTGAGTCTTTGCTATAGTGCTGCTGTGGCATCCATTTCAGTAAATTCCCTAGTAAAAGACAGGTAGACTGCATGAGGACTTTCAAGGTTACTGAAAAGCTGTTTGATATGTGAGGAGGTGTGAAATCAGGAAGCAAGGCACAGGTGATGGAGGACTCCATAGCACTGCTTTTCAACTTGAACACAGCTTAAAACTTCTAGGCACATTGTGTGTCCACTCAGTGCAGTAATTTTCCATATGACATCTCACATTACTGAAGCCGGAGTCAATTTGGACATGTGTGAAAGTAACTGGAGGTTTGCAGCATGGGGGCAGTGTCACTTCTCCTGGATAAAATCAGAGGGCAGGCCTGAATGGTACATTATCCAATATTGACTATCCAGGTACTAATAACTGCTTAACTGGCATTTTCTAGATTTTTAGGGAATTTGCTGTTAGGAAATCTGAACAAAATTAAGTTTCAGTTAGCAAGTTATTTTTTATTAAAAAGGCTTCACAATAAAAACCTTACCAAAAAAATTGTTATTGATATTTACCAAATTCTTTGCAGGGTCAGTCTTTATCTCTTTGCTGCTGTGAAGAAATAAAAAAGAAAAATCTGGTTGTTGACCTAACCTGTCACTTTGCCTTAAAAAGCATAAAACAGCAGAAAGAATAACTTCGTACCTATTTCTGACTACCTTGTTTCTATCAGTTCCTTTGATAACATTCAAACTTCTATCAATTCCTTTCCTACTTCATCACGTCATAAGAGAACAAGCTTCTAGAACCAGAGGCAAACAAGCATGTCTCTTGTGACCAGTGATCAAATTTGTCCTCAAAGTTGTCGATAATTCCCAACACGGGCTGATCAGCTTTTGCATGCATGGAATCATTAGACTTCCCAAAAGCCTTTTCTGGCCATCCTTTGCTCATGAGTGTAATTGATGGCAACCCTATGCCACGTGCTCAATTGGACCAGATGATCCACTGTAGTCCATTCCATCCTGATTCATTCTGTGATTCTGTAATTGCTACGGACGGTATTGTATAAATTTTTCTGGAGAAGAGTGGCAGTTCTAGATTGTTTTGCATGCAGTTAGTAAATGAGTCAGCACCTTCTTGTAAAACAGTAGTAACTTCAAGTGTACTGAATCATGGTTTCAAGGTACTCTAAGGGTCTCTTATCTGCACAGGCAACACATTTTCTGTTTGCTTCAGCAGGGAGGCTATTATACTGAGACTGAAAAAAAAGGGGTTGAGGTCTCATGTCTTATTCTGAGATCAGCATTTAACTGTTTCAGTGCATTGCATTTGCATCTTCTCTTGAGAGTTTTAATATATTCTTCTAAGTGATGGCTAAAATCTTCCAGAGGTAAGTGTACAGTCCACTCAAACTGCTAACTCCATGTTGTCACAAGCTTTGTTAATGAGTGTGTGCAAGGAAAAAAGAAACTGTGAAAAAGAAACAGAATGTTGAACATATATTAAAAAATAAATAATTCTTTGAAAATGAATCATTGTTTCTTCTGGAATGAAATTTCCCATTCTTCATATATTTCACTCCTTGACTTTCCTGTGTGTCTCTCGGTCACTCTCCCCTCCTCTTGCTCTCTTCCCACATCCTTGCACACTTAACTCAGATAGAGGCAGTGTACTCAGTGGCTGCCTTTGGGTGACATTTCTTGGCAGCCTGGCAATAAGCACAGGTTTCCTGGTCACCTGCCCTCTGCCATTAGTTGAGGCAGGGGTCAACCTCTGTTTTCTCTCAGTTCAGACTCTTTTCTATATACAGGCATGAATTCCCCAAAATGGCTGGTAGGAGCTTAATATATCTTGTGATCCCTACATCACATCAACTTTAGCTGATAGTCACCAACCAGTTTGCTTTCTGCCTAAAGTGGTGTAGGAGCACAGCCCTAGAACCCTCATGTTCTTATGGAGGAGGCCAAGAATAAAGGAAGATCGACTATAATCTCACTACAATGAGGAACATGGTAAACTTAGATACTAAAAAAATGAGGTTAAAGTTCAGCAAATTAATCTTATATTGGCTAAACCTGCACTTCACAGTTTCTCAACATTTCCCCGATTTTCCTGACAAGATAGGGGCAGCAGTGTAACTCCACAGGAACCAAAAGCAATAAGTGGTCTCTACCAACTGTCCTCTTCCAGTTGAAAATAAATCCAGTTTTTTTTTACCCTCAGGTAGGACTTCATTATATCACAATTTGTCCTTCAGGAGCCAAAACCTCTTTGTGCTGTAACCACTGGCAGGAGTGACTTCACTGGGAGAAAGAGATTCCTACATCCATGCTGCCAAGCGAGTTCAGAGTTGGGGCTGTGAAGTTGTTCTCAACACCAGGGCTCATTTCCAAACTCATGAAATTAATCCCATGCAATTTTCCCACAAGCTCATGTGTGGAAAGCACAAACGTATTTCCCTATAGAGGTAAAAGTATGCAATCACCCTATCTACTTTAAAGATATAATAAAGTCTGCACTTTAGCATTCATTCTATAGTCCAGTGCTTTGATATTATTATTTTGTATTATTTTGTTGCTTTCTTTTTACTCAAGGATTACTTTGGTAAAATCTTTCTTTCATATCCTCAAAGGAAATCAGAATGCCACATTTCCCATTGGCAAACAGCATTCTCAGCCATCTGAACCTTTGGTGTACCACTGAACAGCAAGACTGTGCAGCAGATAGTATTTATAGTACATTTTATGAGACCAAAAGTTGTCAGTTAAACCACTAGAAACTAATAAGTAGGCCTAGTGTCATTTGAATTGTCAACAGGATATAAGCTGATATAAGAGGAACACCTACATTTTTTTAGGCTTTTTCATAAATAAATGTACTGTTGATAGTCATGCTTGACTTTGTAGGAATGTTCTAAATAAGGACTATAGTAATTTCCTCCATTGCAGCAGTAATGATCATCAGATCATTAAAAGACATACACTCTATAGGCATGCCTAATTCTTGAATGTGATCTTGCTCAGAAACCTGTGTTTTACAATAAGTGTTCTCACATACTCTATTTATTTTTTCAGGGAGAGAGCTAGCAATAGAAAAACCACAACACTGAAAACTGTTTCTATGATGGAAAGGGTGAATGCTAAAGCACACAGAAGAGGGAAATATTATTTCATTCGATAAACAGAAACCCCCTTTGAACTAAGTCACATTTTTAAGTGCATTAAAGCCAGTGAATGCATTGCCTTAAGTGTGAAATTTCATTTGTGTATATATGTATATATACACATATTTATATATATAATGTATATTTATGTGTAACAATAGCAAAGCCCTCTTTCAATAAAATAAATCAAATTCTCAATTGATGAAATTCCATTCTTTGTCCTTCACCCCTCCCTAAATCATGTGCTATGAGAGAAGCTACTTTACACAGCTTTGAAGAGATAGGTAATTGTCCAGAGACAGAGGTTCTCCTTGCCCTTCTATAATAAATACAGAGTACCAAGAAACTATGGATGAAATAAAAGTCCATAAGATTTGAATCTGCCAGTTTCAGATCCAGTACACTCAGAATAGATATGAATCTACTTCTTTATTTATTCTACTTCTGATTATCACTAATACTTACCTGCATGATCAAAGAAAATCTAATTGGTTCCAAATCCCTAGGATAAAATGCAGTTCAGTCAGTTCCTGTAAGATGAAAAATCTTAAATTTTCACTGACAGAACAGCCTGATGCTCTTGTAAGTTAAGGTTTTGAAAGTTTAACACTAAACCATTTAAGTATACCTAATCCCAACCTAGAATTACAAGATGAAGTGCATATGGCATCCCAAAAATGTAAATTACTATCTGCTCAAAGAACATGTGATTTTAAACAAAGGCAGAGATTTCCCTGAAAAGGGAGGCTGAGGAACTTGCCTGTGCACACACTTATCAAGAAGAAATCTGCGCCACATTCTTTCCAGTTTGGAATAGGAAGTATATGTGAAAAATATGGTAGGAAAGATTTTTCTAGAAATATATCAGCCTGATTGAAAAAAGCAAGTGGTGAGACTCTGAATAAGTAGCAGAATTTGTAATGATTTTTGCTATTAAAATTTAGACAGAGCTTCGATAGAAGTTCCAGTGTGCCTTTTAGTTGTGCCTTTCTTCATTATTCCTCTCTTCTTCAACAGAGAGAAAACACTGCACTGTTCAGTATGAGCTCTGAACTTATGTGCAGCTGTTCTTAAAAAGACAGGCAGTTTGAAGAAACTTGTGTTTAAAGCCAGGAAGGATGAGTTAATTGTCAAGAGCCTCTATTCCTATAATTTGGCAAAACAAAACACACTGACAAAAAAGAAAACCAAATCTCAGAGATGAAACATAAATTTTAGATTTCTTCCACACAGGACTTGAGATAATAAAGAAAATAATAAAAAAACAAAACACTTCTTTCTGATACAGCAATGTTTCCAGCACACCTGGGATTTTGCAGTGGTATTTATCAGATGATGTGAGAGTATGGCTGGGAGCAACAGCCGACATTAAGTCAGAGTTCCTTGTAGGATGGAGCCCCTGTAGTTACTCACAGGTCATGTTGCATTTGCAAATGGAGATGGAGCCCTCTAGCATGGACTGACTTAGCCAAGACAGCTTCAGACTAGCAGTGCTACAATAACAGCAGAGACTCCAGTGCAAGCTTGCTCTGGCTACCCCTGGGGCTCCAGGCAGATCTGTACAGCCCACAGCAATTGATGTTTTTCTGACTTGGTTACAGTGGCACTACGTACTTGAGCTTGACTGAATCAAGGCAGAGCTGGAGCTGTGATCACACACAGCATGCCCCAGCTGCTGTGCCGAGTCCATACAGCTTGCTCTGGGCTCAACTGATTCTTCTGGTGGGGAGAATCTTCTTTATAAAGGACATCTCTGGTCATGGCCCCTCTTTCACCAGGCAGACAACACGGCAGAGCTACTATACTGGCTTCAATTTAACCTAGGACTCCTCTGATGTGATGGGAACTGCTGAGATGCAGGCTTTCTTTGGCACTCTGGTATGCAGGGATGCAAACTTGATTCCATGTGATCCCTTCCTGCATCCCATGTTAACACTTATCAAAACAGCTTTAGCTGAAGCCCTGCCAGTTTAGATCAGCTGTGAAGCTGGGCAGCCCTGGACATTTGTGCTTGGCAAAAATATGCAATTTTTTCACAGGCAAATGAACACAATGAGTTATCACTATATATGTATATGTATTTCTTGTCCATTTATATTTCTTGGAATCTCTTTGCCATGAAATGAAACACAGATGTCTTTATGCTAGTCATCTTGAAACTAGAAATGCTTATTACTAGACACAAATGACTGATACTTAAAACTGCGTGCTATTCCTCATTGTGTACCAAACTGGGTATTTATCCTACATCCATAGTCTAGTTCCTGCTTGAAAGCATGCAGCAGGAATCATGAGCTCTCCAAAAAGTACCTGATACCAGAAGGTACTTCTGTCCCTAAATGGAGAATTAGGATATACAGGCAGAAAGCTACTTTTGCAGAGCAAAGGCACTGACACATTCCCCTTGTTACCTAGCAGAGCTCACTGCTCTAACTGGGGCACTCAAATCCTGACACCATGCATGCAGAAAAGTCTGTGCATAACACAGTATCCTACAAGAATCACCGCACAAAAACTTCCAAGGAGGAGAGTTCAGCTGCAGCCCAGCTAGGAGAGCAGGAGGCATTTTTCCCGCAAGGAGAAACCTCTGCCCCTGCCCCAAGAACACACTACAGAGATGTGGATCAGGGATTTAAGACAAGCACTTTGTCAGAAGGAGTGCAACCTCACCTGTAACTAAATGCTTACAGGGCTGTTCAGAATGTAAGTTTTTTTTCGTCTGTGAGATCTTAGAATGGGTAAGGGAGAAGAACCAGTGAGTGAGTCATCCTATCCAACCTTCCTTCTCAAGCAGGGTCATCCTACAGCACATTATACAGGATTGCATCCAGACAGTTGTTGAATATCTCCAGATATTCAATTCAAATCTGCTTCTCTGGAGAAAGTCCCCTGCTGATCAGACATAGGTAATTTTGTATCTAAAGCTATCTTAATTCCATGTTCTATTTTCAATGGATTTGAGAAATATTTGTGGGTCAAAAGATGTCTCCCAAACTTGGAGCCTCTGCCTCCAAGCTGGAGAGAAATCTCAGTGGCTACTAAATATTAAATGTCTAAATATACATCTACTAGATCTTCTCTTAGCAAGCTCTAAACTGTCCACTTGATTTCATAACAGAAATATTTTCATGTGTTTTCAGACATCTTCAAACTGAGACTATGATAATTCATTTTTATTTCTTCACTTGTGGAAAATTTTCTTTGGAATTGAGGCAGATAATCACTGGTATATCAAATTGCTGCTGTAAATAGAAGAAAGTGAGTTTAAGTGTAAGTGAATTGCCATATAAAAGGGAAGCAGTAGCAGAAATAGAAAGCAAAGAGTATTTCAGTAATTTTTAAAATATTTTCCTTCATTTGGTTACAAGGATGGATTTACTTTAAAAATAACTAAGTTTTCAATGGAATAAATATCCTATGCAGTTATCTATCTACTTTCTAGGATCTAGCAACCAATTCACTAGTTTGATTCTTTTTCACTTGCACAGCTTGCAGCAGACTGAATGCTCCAGGGATTTCACTGCCTGAATTCTGTGACTTCTGTGAGAAACTATCTCAGCAGTCTTCTTTATCAATTGGTATCATAGTGTGATATTATACCTTTGACTCTGTTTTCAGTGCAGACATAGTTCAAGTACATGACTTATCTGCCAGCAAAATGGTCTGTTCCAAGCCCACAGAAGTCAGGAACAGCCTTTCTGCTGGTTGGCCACATCACAATTAAATAAAGTTCTATCACAAATAAATCAGAATATTTAATGGCATGTAAGAATGCTAAATTAAGACAGATATTTCTTGAGGAGGCTTTTTTTGTTGTCATTTTAAAGTCATGTCTTTGGAAGAAGAGGCCAGCCTTTAGGCCACAGCATTGTAAGTATACTTTATATCCAAGAAAGTTATACTTTAGTCACACAGTTTATCTGAACAATTATTATTCCTAACTACAGTACACCTGAAAGAAAAGACTTAGTTCCTTATAGATTTTCATGAAAAAGAATAAAAGAATACTTAAAAATACTGAGGTAGTACTCAACCTACTGCTCATTCCAGCTGTCAGAGTTCAGAGTGCAGTAAAAACACGAGTTACACCAAATGTTCACACCAAACAGTATGGTCATTACTGGGGCAGATACATTCTCTTTTAGTTTTCTCCTTATATGTGTAATATCTTTTTCCTCTGCCTGTTGAAGCTAATGTCTAAAGCAGAAACAAAAACCAAAACTTCAAACCAGTTCCTGTGTCTAGCTTCATAACATTTCAGACAGTTTAGTGAGGTTGGGGTTGTTAATCCTTTTCTGTTTTAGTTTGAGGTCTGGGAGGACAAACAACACACTCTTAAAATTTGCAATAGAGCTGTTGCTAGATAATGTGGGGGGGGGTTCAGGTGATCAGTATTTGCTTGACTCTGCAATCACTGGTTATCAATGAATTCAGTAGTAGCAAAATTTCTCCATATATTTCCTTGGTTTTCTGCAAACCCAAGACCATCTGTTTATAAAGCCATGGGAATTTTGCCTGCGCCCTCAGTCGGAAGAAACTTTTACGTAATATGCCTATACACCTATCCTTTCCTAGCTGTTTACACACCCAGACACTTGCTTCTTTTCTTTGACAAAGTGATATTTGTGGTCTGCCCTTTAACTCACATTCACATCTGCATTGCTTCCCTTTACCTTCCCCTGCTGTCACCAGTCATTTTACCATCATCTCCACTTCTTCGTCCAGTCAATGTATTTTCCAGCCACATCTCCCTATTTCTCAAAGTTGTCAAGGTTCACTGTTTTGGTTGAACTCTTTCTCTCACTGCCAGCATGCTCATTTCCTGCACTTCTCCAAACCTTGATCATCTCTTATTGTTTCTTCCTTGAGTAAGGAACTTACAGACAAGTAGTTTTGATTCATATATGAAGGCTATATCAAATATGGACACTGATGAATATTCCACTTTGACAGGTTTTTTTGGAACAATGGTATGGCAGGGAAAGCCTTGTCAGCCCGGCTGTGGTGATAATGTCATGAAGCAAAGCAGCAAAAGTTCCAGTCTTGAGCTTCCTCAGCACTCAGGAAAGCTCCCTTCCCTCAGGCCACCCTGCAACCTCATTGAGGCCACCTTTCTCCGTGACCTCTTCCTCTTCAGAAAAGTCAAAATACCTGGAAAAGAGATTATCTAGCCATTTGGCAGGTCTGCTTATGCACATATTTACTGGGAAAATCAACAGAAACTTCTAGCATGATGAAGTTAAGCGCATGTGTAATTATTCACAGACTGAGGCCCAGCAACTGCTGCCCCTCTGGAAAATGGCGGTGCTGCCTGACACTTCCTGGTCAAGACTGCTGTGGGAGGCTCCAGGGAACAAACATAGTTCACAGACAAAGCAAAAACCTCAACCCACTGAATCTATAAACCACTGATGTCTGTATTAGACATCCTCAGCTATAATAAAACATAATTATGAAATCAAACTAATTTACTTAATGACAATAAAACCCAAATTGCAATGAATTTAACTTGAAGAAAGCCTTAACGAAGAAACCGTTACAGGGCAATTTTTTTTAAGACTAACTTAATAGAAACTTTCAAGCAAGCTTTCCACAAGCCCATATTTTAAAAGAACACCAAACCAAAACAATATAAAGCACATACCTTTGAGTAGCTGGGAGAGCTGTGGTTCTTGGGATGGAACCTGTGGCCCGCTGCTTTCCAGAGGCACTGCACCTCAGCACAGACCAGGACTCACCTGCTACCCCAGAGGGCAAGGTCACCAAGGGCCTGATGACAGCTGGGGCTGCCTGGGTGCCTACACTAGAACCCGGGCTTGTGGGTGCTGGGATGGGTGAAGCCAATAAAGACCCATCAGTGGCCTGACATAATTTTACAGGAGTTCCCTGAAGAGGGAAAAGAATAATCAGCACAGGGTTGGTCACAACTGCAAAATGGCTGCCCCCTAGGACAGTGGGAGAGCCCAGGCAGGGCCGCAGTGCCCAGTCAGGTACTGCCCCAGAGGTGGTGAGATGTCACTGTCAGGCTTGTGTGCTTGTCCCAACACCTCCCAAGAGTCATGGCCCTGTGGGGAGAGATGGCTATGGCATGGCCGGAGGGGGGCCTGCCAATTCCAGGAGCTTATCCTAGAGTCAGCATATTTGTTGTCTCCATATAAAGAAGCAAGATGAGATGCTGTCTGCCCTTTTCTCCTGAGTGAGAGGTAACTCTCTTGTAGTTTCCAAATCTGCATTTAAAATCCATTTTCCATGCAAAACAGTACTCCGTTCAGACATGTCCATAGCTGCCTGCGGTGTGCAGTAACAGGCTCAGTCACACGCAGCTCTAGCCAGAGAGTATCCTGGACCACATGTTTTTATTTTGTGGAATTATTTTGTGAACTATATCCTGATGTCTTCTAAACACCTCAGGTCTTCAAAGACATTCAGCAGAGAGGTGAGGCTCAGATCTCCCCTGGTGGTCTGGTCCCAGCTCGGCACAGGTATAGGGAATGTCACCTTTCCTTCTCTGACTAAAAACAGTGACATCAAACTGCTCATTGTTTAAGCAAAACAAAAACAAATAAAAAGGAAGAAAAAAAAGAAAGACAAGAGCGTGTACCAGTTTTAAAAATGGTCTTTGATGATGTTTCACTGGAAGTCAGGGTTTTAGCTAGATGCCAGAAGGATATGGCATGACCTGCTCTGTACTCTTATTAATAAACTAGTCTATGACAGAAGCAATATCCCCCTGTGTATCTCTTGTCAATGTTGTGCAATAATTTCCACTCTAACCCACTTTTCTCCATCACCCACCTAAACTGCTTGTGCAAATTTTATCCTTCAGGGTAAAAATTTCCATGCCTGACCTCTGCATGAAACTACAATTTTTTGGAATTATGAGGTAAAACAGTCTTCTGAGAATAAGAGAAAAGGAAAACACACTTCTCTGCGTAAAAAAACAATCCAAACAAACCTCACCCCAAAATAGAATTTAAAAAATTTCATTGCTTTTTCATAGTTCTGGGGATAGTGTAAAAAAATCATTATAAAAGGAGTATTGTAAAAGAGCAGAATATTACCTATGCTCAAACACTGCCATGTTGGACTTGACAGCACCATGCAGATGCATGCTTTAGTAAACAGGTGAAATGCATTTGTATATAAGTAGTGTAGAAAGTATATACTTCTGGCATTATGTATCTTTTTATATACATGTTTATACATCTGTACAATAAAAATGTGCATGATTATGTACAAGTGTGTGCTGTTCTCTATACACTTACTGTATATGTAAGTTTGAAAGGTACCCACTGAGAATCATACTGAATTTTGTGATGGGAGGAGATGCACTGCCTGGCAAAGACACAGCTGCAATGTTTGTCACCAGACAAGTTCCTGTCTAGACTGCTTAAGGTAGGCAATGGTTCAGAAAGTACTGTCAGGATCACTGACTGAGGGCCCATTGAATTTTATCATTTTTCCTCTACTTGTTTTGAAAATTTTAGGACTGCAGTTTCTTAAAGAATACAAATACCTATGGGAGGAAGGCCTTCTTGTGTTGGCACAGATGATAAATGTAGCTTCCCCAGCTGCTCATCTCCTCAGATGCCAAGGCTCCACTTTAGTCACAGACAAGCAAAGCTCAGGCAAATATTTACCAGGCAAGATCTTTTCTTTCTTTTCTCAGAGGAAGAAATTTTTATACAAGGTGGTGAATATTTGGCATGCTTCAGAAAATTAAATAATTCCCTTTAAACTATTGTTTTTCTGTTTTAATTGCCTAAGAAATTCTGTAGAAGGATTTAGCTAGCAGAAACTTGATCATTGTTAAAAAGTGAGAAAACATTTTACAGTGTAAGTTCATCTAATCACTTAGGAAAGAAATTTCTCAAGATAGCATGCAAGCAGGCAATGTCTGCTATAACCACTGCTGCTCCCTTTTGCTTCCTTGCTGCCACTCCCAGGTAAGCCATGACCAAGAGAGATGCTGACTTCAGTGACATATAGTCCCTTCAGAGCCATCATATCTATTGTGCTTACAGTGTTGACTGGCTCTTCTCTGCATTCTGGGGCATTCTTATGAGCACAGTTCTTCTTAAAAACAACTAAATTGAAGTTAGGACTGATGTCATTACTGACATTATGCTCTTTCCATTTTACATAGTGTATCTCTGGTTGTAACTAAAAATGGCACAGTTTTACATTTAATTTTAGAAATCATACTGAGTCACATAATTCCCTCCTTCTATTTGCAGTTTCTTAGCTTCTCTTCTGCAAATATGAAAAGCATGCCTTTGACAAAGCTCTTTCAAGAAAAGACAGACAGAAGTTAGTTTCAAGTAGATTATCTGAAGCACCAACAGTTGGTCTTATTCTATCCATACTAAAATAATTCTTTCTTTGGATTTAGTGTCTTTTATTTAAATAATAAAAAATAAGATAAAGTTCTATCTGAACAGAAGTTCTCTGTACCATGCCATCAGACCGAGGGTGGTTAGGAGCCTGTGAGTTTTCTCCAGATTCAGGAGGACGAAAAGATTCCTTGCCTTGACTGTGCCCTTAGTAGGGTGTCAGTCAAGGTTCTGACCAGCATAATTCCTAGAACATCATGTGATAGGAGTTTCCTGTCTTTGGAGACGGCACTTCAATCCAGAATGAAAAGAGTGTCATAAGAGAATATTTTAAATTAGCATTAGCTCTGTTTGTACAACAGTTGTGCATATGCTATTGAAATTCTATTGACAGATCTGGCATCTTACAAGTATTTGTTACACACTCTTGACTGTGGACAGGATTTCTGATCCTAAGAGAGTTTCAGCCTGTCAGGGGCTCATCTGTTCCCAGGGGAAAAGTTCCTGGGAACAGTTTTCTCTCCAGGATTGTGTTATTGTAAATAGATAATATTTCTCAAAACAATACTGAACAGATGTTCTTGGTGTGTTTTCTCTGGTCCCACCAATGGGACCAAAGGGGGTGCTGTCTTAACCTGGACCAAAACACCTTATAAAAAGGGGTTAAGAACCCCTGGAATAAAGGCTTCTTTGCCTCACAAAGCAGCTGTGTGTGTGCATTATCTGAAGCACCCTCAATATATGTCCATCAGCAACACTTGAAAGTTTTGTATTTTTTGTTCTCTGACTGTACAACCTCATAACAAAATGAAAAGTTGTCTTAAAATATTTAGCAAAACTTCAAGCAAACAAATAAAAAAAAAGAGAAGGCTTATAAAATTCCATTACTCTAATTCTCTGGTTCAAGTATTACTAATACTGAAGTTTAGTGAACAAGCAAAGCTTCTGTACTTCATAAGAGAAGGCTTTTCGAGATTTAAAAAAAATTATTTTTCAAAAGACTCAACCTTTTGGGCTTTCCTGGTTGTGCATTGTGTGTTCTCCTTGCAAGGTACACATGCTGTACGTTAGAAATAATGCTTTCTCATGAAGAGTAAACAGTTTTATAAAGACTAATTAAATTAATCTAATTGTAAATCACACTAGTTACAATTAATCAAATGCCCCAAAGTAAACATAAATTAATCACCTTGTTTAATTGGGATATCCACAACTCTTTCATGGTTCTATCATTTTGAAACATTATAAGCAATTCATATTTTTGAATAGGACTAAAGAGTTTCCTGACCACTGGAGTTGAAGTGGAATGGGCTCATAATAAAGTATCTATTAAAACATGATTGGAAAAAGCTCTATAGTTCATACATTGGGTCAGTTAATCTCTATAGATTTTTTTAATGCTGCTGCTGGAAGGCTGGTGTTGGAGAGTGAGTGAGAAAGAATGCAACCTTCTTTTCTGTACTTCATGGATCCTTAACCCTTATTTAAAGACGACTTTGGATTTTAGACCACATAACTGCTCTTGTAATTATATCAAACAGTTAAAAAAAAAGCTAGTTAATGATGTTCAACATAAGTAATCATGTTAAATAGTGAAATTTAATTTCTTAAAAACTTAAATCCTCATATCTTTTGGAATGCATTGTACTGTAGGATGTCTGAGTAAATTAAATTCTCCCCTGCACACTAAAACATCAATTTCCTTATGGTAATTATCTGCTAGATTGGATCTGTCAGTCGCAGGGAAGCATGCCTGACATTATACCCTTTTTACAAAAAATGATTACAAAAAATTAAGACGAATGAGTAAAATTAAGGCTGCGGCTGGTAAGCCTATATAAAGCTCTCATAGATCACTTTACATAAGCTACCATTGTACTGGATACTAAGCTTTTAATGACTAGTTGCATAATTAGGTGAAGGCCATTAAAGAACAGCAGGGTAACTGATCACAGAGATAAGAGCTAAAAATGATTTTAAGCCAACTAGAAGCAATTTATTATACACAAAAACACAGGTCTAAATGAAATGTCTGGATAGATGAGGAACTTTTGAAAATTGACAGGATTTCCTTCCTAGGAGAGTTTCACAAATATGATGGGAACATGTCTTTGTCATATTAGTTAATTTTTCTCTGCTATTCTGTACTGCAGAATTGGGGTAGTGGGTTGGTTTTTTATTTTTAAAGGCAGATGGACTGTAGCAATGCATTTCATTAGCTCACTTGAAAGGTAAATTAGAGTGAGGAGTAGCTGATATAAAGGAAATTCATAGCACTCTGCCAGCAAGTGTTATATGGAGTCAGGTTAGTTGTTGCAAGTCAACTGAAACCTGTCTGTGCCAAAAAAACTCATTCATGCTAGAGAGCTGCCTCTAAGAAAGGTTTAGGGTTGTAAAGTACCATATTGCTCTTAGAGCAGTGCAAAAATCAGTATGTAAGTAAATTCTCTTATAATGAGCAGTCACTTGGGGCCGAGACAGAAAAAGAGCCCAAGTACCTTGAAGGTATCTGAAGCTCAAATTTTGAGGTAACCTACTCTCATATGGAAAGCCACATCCCTAATTTAAGCAAAAGGAATGTGTGGAGGGTGCCTAAAGAGAGGCAGGAATGGCAGGTGAGGGTGAAAACCTGAAGCTGGGCTGTATGAAGTACTTGGTGCGTAGGCACTTTAAACCAGACAGTGGGAGATACACACATACATATCTGTACATAAACATACACACAACCACATACATGCATTAGCAGATTTA